ACCCGGGGCCTGAAGTTACCCACCTCCTGGGGAATTTGACATCTCAGGTTCATTACCTCTTTTTCAGTACTTTTCCTTCCTTCTCTTATTCATTTTCTAACAAATCTTTATTTTGCCCTACCATGTGAGAGTTGGACCATAAAAAAGGCTGAGCACCAAAGAATTGAGGCTTTCAAACCACGGTGCTGAGTCCCTTGGACAGCAAGGAGATCAAATCAGTCAATCCTAAAGCAAATCAACCCTGACTATTCATTGGTAGGACTGATGCTGAAGTTTCAATATTTTGGCCACCTGATACAAAGAGCCAACTCATTGGAAAAGACCCTGATGCTGGGAAAGATTAAGGGCAGGAGGAGAAGAGGGTAACAGAGGATGAGATGGTTGGATGGCATCACTGACTTAAAATGGACATGAGTTTGAGCAAATGCTGGGAGATAGTGAAGGACAGGGAATCCTGGTGTGCAGCCCATGGGGTTGCAAAGAGTCAGACACAGCTTAGCAACTGAACAACAAATGTGCCAGACAGGCCAGGGTGGTGGGCCTATAGGACCTGAGTGAGCAGACTGCCTTCATGTTTTCCCATTTCATAAAGAAACACAAGGCTACAGGCCCACAACAGACTGGTTCAAAATGGGGAAAGGAGTATGTTAAGGCTGTATATTGTCATCCTACTTATTTAACTTATATGCGGAGTACATCANAAAAAATCCTGATGCTGGGAAAGACTGAAGGCAGGAAGAGAAGGGGACAACAGAGGACGAGATGGTCGGCTGACATCACTGAATTTGAGCAAACTCCGGGAGATGGTGAAGGACAGGGAAACCTGGTGTGCCGCAGTCCATGGGGTCACAAAGGGTTGGACATGACTGAGCAACTAAACAACAACAACAGGCCCACAGGGACCTGTGCCTCTTGGGGGCCTTAATAAAACTCAGGCAGGGGACTTCCCTCATGGTCCAGCGGCTAAGACTCTGCACTTCCAATGTAGAGGGCCCCAGGTTCAATTCCTGGTCAGGGAACTAGATCCCACATGCCACAGCAAGAGTTCACATGTCGCAGCTAAGACCCAGTGCAACCAAATGAAATAAATATTAGAAAAAGAAAGAAAAGAAAACTCAGGTGGGCCTGGATGTCTCCATCTGCTATCACAGAGCCTGAGGGCCAGGGCCACAGAAACAGGTTTCCCTTTCCTGCTCTTTGTCCCCAATTCCTCTTGTTCCCTACGGGGCACAGGCACCACTGCGGCGGGTGGGCATGACCAAATGTACGGCCTTGCAGTTGCTCCCACCCACCCAGCAACCTGTTCAGGGACCCAGGCTAGGGTAGGGTGAGAGTGTGGGGACCGCTGGCTTTAAGGGAGCTTCGAACCAAACTTATAAGGACCACTGAGCCTAAGGCCTGGTATTCAGAAAGCTACTTTAGGCTAGATTCTGAACATTATCTCCAGAAGTTGTCCCAAGGGTGGTCACTGTCACCTCCTGATCAGACTTCAGACTTATGTCCCGTGAACCTCGGTGGACACACCTAAGGATGTATTTTCTGTAAATCCTGAACCTCGGTGGACACACCTAAGGATGTATTTTCTGTAAATCCTGCCACTCTCTCATGCCTGGTGTAACTACTTCGTTATGACTATAACCCTGTTTGGGTGTATGTTTTTTAAAAGTCCACCCCTGTTTGATGCAAATGTTTAAAACCTATTGCACAGGGGCTTCCCTGGTGGCTCAGGGGTAAAGAATCCACCTGCCAATGCAGGAGACAGAGGTTCACTCCAAGATCTGGGAGGATCCCACAGGCCTCGGAGCAACTAAGTCCATGTGCCACAACTAGTGATGCCTGCTGGCCCCAGGGCCTTTGATCCGCAACAATGTTAATCAATCTCACAGCAAGGAGTAACCCAGGTACCACAAAAGAGGGTAGCCTCTACTTGCTGCAACTAGAGAAAAATTCTAATTTCTAGCAGCAACGGGTTTGGACCCAGCAGAGCCAAAAATAAGTAAATAATTTTTTTTTTTTTTTTTTTTTTTAGAAAAGAGGGTAAAAGAAAGTTTTTTTTTTTTTAACAAGAATCTTTTGCACAATGACTTTTGTCTGCCTGCTTTGGAAATCTTTCATTTTTGATATTCTAGGAGTCTCACGAGATGGCCTCCTTTCTGCAGGCCCAGAGGGAAACCTACAAAGAGGCAGAGTGAGACTCCTGCCTGGCTCAGTCTCCCTCCCTCTCTCCAGGCCTGGGAGCCAGGAGTCCAGGCCTTTCCAGGAGGCTCGCCCTCCATCCGTGTGGCCTCTCTGCACTCCTGGCCTGGGCCCTGGCATCCTCCCTGGGCCAGAAACCCAGGTGCGGGTGGAGCTCCTTCCTGGGAGAAGGCCAGAGCCGGCCTCTGGGGCTTCCGGCCCAGGAGCGGGTTGTTTTTGGGAGTCTGGCGGCACTTCCGGTGCTTAACTGGATTTCAGGCCCGCCACTAGCTTGAGTCATGGGAAGCTGAGCCAGAACAGGCAAGGGCAGGCCTCAAAGGGATCCAGGGGGCATCTTTTAGGGTGCTTTTAAAGTGCAAGGCAAAGGCAGGGCCCTCACTGCCTTTGGTAAGACCTTGCCCATGGGCCCTGCCGGTCCCATTAGAACCTGCTTTTTCCTTCTGCATCCAGCACTTAGAGTGTGAACTGGGGAGTGATGAGGTGAGCTTCCAGAATCCTGCGGCTCAGGGCACAGATGTGGGTTGGGGGGCAGCTCCTGCCAGGACCCTGAGCCAGGCTGCTGTAGTCTGGGAGCCACTTCAAGCTCCCCAGAGGCGCTTCCCATGGGCTACACCACCCCTCTCACTGCCCCAGTATTTTTCCTCTTTCCAATCTCAGCACAGACATCCCCTCCTCCACGTTAACAACACAGGGCACAACCAATCGTCTGGTGAGTGCACTCAGAGGTCCTTCTTGATCAAATGTTAATATTACAGGAGAAATCCAGTTTTCAGTTTTGAACTACCAACGAATTTGGCAAACCTTCTGCAAAATGAGAGCAAAAAGAGAAGAAATCTGAAATATAACCCTGAAGCTGCAGGAAGATCAGAGTGAAGAGAAAAAAAGAAGCATAGGGACACTTACTCAACAGAAACATCTTTAGATGAAGGAACAGAACAGTATGTCAGCAGGATCTCTGAGTGACCATTTCTGATGTTTGTCAGTATTGCATTCAGACACTGAGTGACTTTCTACTTTGGGTATAGAGGGTGAAGACCTGAAATGCTTCCTATTTAGAGTGATTTGGAAATGTTAATCCATCTACAAAAGTCATATCACTAATTTCCAAAAAAGAATGTATTAAGTAAATGTCTCAATATGTTAATGAAGCCCGTTTTTTCAGCAAATTTTTTTTTTCATGTCTTAGGAAGCTTTTGTTATGTTTTATCAGTGTATTTAAAACTGCAACTTCCGCTATTTCCCTAATGGTCCAGTGGCTAAGACTATGTGCTCCCAACTCAGGGGGCCTGGGGTTCAATCCCTGGTCAGGGAACTAGATCCCCCATGCCATAACTAAGAGTTCGTATGCCGCAACTTAAAGAACCTGCATGACCCAAACTAAAAAAGATACTGCATGCCACAACAAAAGATCAAAGATTCTGCATGCCGCAACTAAGACCCACTGCAGCCACATAAACATTTTAAAAAACACTTCAACCTTTAAACACAATATAAATAAAAAGAAAATATTTCGAAGAGAAACAAATTTTGATTTGTTCTTTTCCCCCTAAAAGTTCTATATTGCTGGTATTGTTGTCCTATTTTACAGATGAGAAAACTGAGGCCCGGAGATGCTAAACTGGGCCCAGGGACTTGCAACTGGTGAGAAGCAGCAGGCGGTACAAAGCCTCCCTCTGGCTCTACCCCGAAGAGGGGACTGACCCAGAGGACAAAGCAGCCTGAATGGAGGCACGCTGAGTGGCACCAGTAGCGAGGCCCAGGTGGGACGCCCCAGCCCAGCCTCAGTCTCTCGTGTTCCCTGACCCCAGGCAGCTGGCCTCCAACGCTCACGTCCTGGACCGANCCCCCCCCCCCCCCCCCCCCGCAATGGCATCAGGAGCGCCCACGGGGTTGGGTGATGTGTTTTCCGAGTGTGACACCCGGCCGCCAACAGAGGACAGCAAATACATTTTTTATGATCCTGGGAGGCTCAGTCCAGTCACGTTTGCGTGAAAAGAGGCTGGGCGGCCAAAGGGTACAAGTCATGTCTCAGTTATGTGAATCCTCTTCGGGCAAGAGGGGTCACTAGTGGGATGACCTGGGGGTTCTGCGAAAGGGGTGCAGCGCCGGGGCAGATTTGAGGAGGGGGCTGGGTTGTGAAAGAGGGTCCCCCTTCCTGTTGGAACCTTCTGAAGTTTATGGAGCGGGAGTAGCTTATGCGGGGCGGGGGGCGGGGGGCGGCGGTCAGCACCAGGGGTCGGATCTTAGCCAGGTGGAGAGGGTACCCTCATGCCCCACCCTTCAATTTCGAGACTATCTCCCAGAGCCTGGGACTCTGAAAGTATCAACAGGACTGGACTGGATGAGGGGAAGCACAACTTTAGGTTTGGGGTTGGTATTTTGGGGAGTTCTTGGGAATAGAGCATGTCCGTCCAATTTCAAACCTGGGGCTTTTGGGGGGACTCCCAGGAGGGGGTTAGGAGGCCGCCAAGGGGTGGGTGACCAGGTGTGGGGCCAGACTTGGTGCAGCCTCGACTTCTACTGTTGGTTCACGAGGGGAGGGGAGTGAGAAGGGCTGAAAGCGCCGGCTGGCACTGTCACTGAATGTTCCCGAAAGTGGGGGTGGGGTGGGGGGGCTGATCTGGGGGCGAGGTCTGAATCTTAAGCAGATGTATCCCCATTCAGACACCCCCGGTTGAGGGATCCCGGAGCGCATCTGGGGGAACCCTATCCTCCCCCCACCTCCTCGGAGGGAGGCCCAGCCTAGGCTCCCTCCTCCGGGCCGCGGGGGTATTGAAAGTGGGGGATCTCCCATCTCTGCGGACCGTGGAGGCCGGGTGCAGCCCCGTCGGCTCCGCGCTCCCGGCAGAAAGGGCTTTTCTACGCCCCCCGCCCATCACTTGGATCTGGTCTGGGTAAGGAAGGGGGATTTTTTTCTGGAAGTCCCCCCCCCCCAACCCGCGGTGTAGGATTTGAGGCTGGGCTCCAATCTAGGCGGAGGCTGCAGGGCCCGCGGGGCGCCCCCCGCCCCGCGCACGCCTCCCAACAGCCCTGGAAGGCACAACCCCGGGGGGCCCCCCTTGCACCCCCAGAGGCGGCAGCGGCGGTGAGTCTACCCTTTTTTTTTTCCTGCATGGCACCCCTCCCCCGGGCCAGGGTAGGGGCCGCGGCAGGTGGGTGCCCAGGCCCCCGGGACGGAAGGGGGTGCGGGGCGGCTGCCTAGGGGGTGGGTGGCGACGCGAGAGGGGAGGTGGCGGCGGGGGAAGCGCGCGACTCTCCCGGGACGCAGCGCTAGACGCTCGTCTGGGAGGGGATTCGCCGCCGCTGCGCGCCCCCCGAGGCAGCGGGGCTGGGCTCCCCCTTCTCCCCACGCCCCTCCCTGGCTCCGGAGAGGGGCGTGTTAGGCGGGGAGGTGGAATGGGGGCGAGGCAGCACCCCTCACCGCCCTAATGCCGAGGCTCGGAAATTAACGAGGCGCTTTGGAAGCCTCCCACCCCGCCCCCACCCCGGAAAGCCCGTTCGGGAAACTGACTCGCGGCGTGACCCCGATATCGGTGCCACGCGGAGCGCAGGCCGACCGCTCGCCCGTCCACGCCCGCCGCACCGCGCCGCTCCACGTGCGCCCGGGGCCGCGCTGGCACGGGCAGAAGGGCTCGGCTCCAGGCTCTGGGGGCCGGGCCCCGGAGACGACCCGCGAAGCCGGGAGCATCGTCCCCGGAGAGTTACCACCTCCCCGAAGTAAAGTTGGCCGCCCCCTCCTTCCGAGGAGCAGGCAGCCATGGCACTGTTAGCTGTAGCTTTTGCTGGACAGGAGTTTAAAAAAAAAAAAAAAAAATCTAGGTTCCGGGGTGCGGATCCGGGTGGCAGGGCCCGAGACCACACCAAGTTGCTCTGGCAAAAGTTAGGAGAAGAAAAAGGAAAAGTCATTTTGATTTGGGGGTGGGGGGGGTGGCGTTTCTGGTTTCTCCTGCTTCCGAGCCCCACCGTGGGGAGCGTTGGAATGTGCCGCTAAGATCCTCTGAGGACACATCCATATTTATAATTTATTTTTAGGAGAAGTTGTGAAAAAGGGAGGGGGGTTTAAAATGGGGAGAAAAGGTGTGTGTAGCCGGTGGCCTTTCCAGAACCCAGAGGCTAATTGAGCTATTAAGATGGAAATCACTTCCCCCAGTCTGGGCAAGTTGCAAATTTGACTTTAATAAGACAATTAAGGGCACAAACAACTAAACTTTAGCTGCATTTGGGAAGGAGTAGGGGGTGTGGGACCGCAGGAGGCACGGGGCACTCCTTTTGCGTTTCGGCTGATGGACATTTTTGGACGCTGAAAGTCTTCCTCGGAAGATGTCAGGCCCAGCTATGGGTCTGGGGGTAAGGGAGGGAAAAGATACCCCGTGGGGCAGGCAGAAAACGCCCTCCCCTTCTACCAAGCAGCCCTGGCTTTGGGGAGAGATCAACTGTTATCCCGTCATTCCTTCAGGAAAACCCAGTAATGATTCCTTTAATTATCCAGGATTCTCCAAAAATCTGCCTCAAAGGCAGCCTGCCCCACTTGTGTGAGCTGTGGAGGGGGAGACCCTTCTGGAGAAAGGAGGCTTTGGAGGCTGTGGTCCCAGAATCGGGGTTTTGAGGGCGAGATGAGTTTATGTTTTATCCAACTGGCCCACAAAGTCCCGCTTTTGGGGTCATTCTAGACGGCGAGGGATGCAAACTCCGGCAGCCCCTGTAGGAGAAGACAGAGAGCTAACCACTGCGAAGCTGGTGGTGGCGAGTGGTGGAGGAAAGCTCTGGTGGGAGAAAGGGGGGAGGTTTGCTTCTTTTGGTAAAAGCGAAAGGCCGTGTCTAGATGATCATTTTTGTGTATGTGTATGTATGTGTTCTCTGTTGAACCTGCTGTTTTCAAGGGCTTTTCTTTGGGAGGCCCAGAAGGGTATGAGAAGATGAAAGTAGCCCCCCCGCAGCCCCACCTCCTGCCAGTGGTTTAATGAGATGTTTCAGTAGACAGGATTTTAAGGGAATGAGTGATAATATGGGTCGTGTCAAATCGTTTGACACCCTCGAAACCAAACATCGCTGAAATGGTGAATTGCAGTTACATTAGATTTGCCTGCTTGCCCCCACATGGAATTGCAATGTTGCTTTGCAATTCTGTTACCCTGGATCTTAGTTATTTTATAAGGAACTCTGGATAATGTGTTGTCAGGAAATTCTTTAAGGCAAGGGTGATGGGGGTACAAATGTCCCTCCCATTAACCTTATTAAGTTCTGTTAATACACACACACACACACACACACACACACACACACACACACACACACACACACACACCTCTCTACCCTCCAGTTGTAACTTACATGGATTTTCACATAGCTTAAGTTTATTTATTTGCAAACTTGGATTTCAATCAGGTGTTCACAGCAGGGCATAGAAAAGGAAGCTGTACCTGAAAAACTTTTGAACACAAAGTACCTAATAGAAAATTCGAGTTGAATAGAAATGGCACATAGATACACTGATGACATGTGCGCTCCCGGGGCCTTGGCAAAAACCAGTTCTTTACTTTTCAGAGTTCTTTCCCTTTGTTATGGGACACGATGAAACAGCACAATTTTCAGAAGTCCACAATCCCAGCATGGCTGGGCGATGGGAAATTGTCACGTTGTGAATTGCTGAATCGTCACCCCCATCATAGTGCCAGAGAGCTGACTGTCAGGTCCTATTTGCTTTGCTAAATAAGGACATCTCACCAAATTAGCCTTTAATGATACTTCTACAAATAGGGTGTTTTACGTGAATTAACGAGGCCGGAACACCAAATGTCGCACCAAGATACGGAGCTCTAATCGCAGCGATGAAGCTGCATGTTAAAATTACTGAATTGTTAAGTGTGGAAAATCAGAATTGAGTGCTGAATGCGAACCGGGGGCTGCTTTAATTCGAGCATTTGCAACAGGAAAGCCCCTGCTTACACTCAGCCCTCTGAAAAGGGTGCATGTAATTATGAATACGTTAAGCAAACTCACCCCACAACACACACACAGCTCCCTACCCCAAGCCTGGAAACAGGCATAGTAGTATGGTGAAGGGATTATAAATCAGCACTTTGCAGTGAGAAGTGGTCATTAATTCGGCGAAGAATCACAGTTTCTTTTCATATTCTGACCACTGCCCTCCCCCCACCCCAACCAATAAGAAAAAAGAAAAGCTCAAGGTGGGACTGCTGAATACAGCTCCCCTGTGTGAAATTTCACTAATCAGATGTCATCCCGGCCCCCCCCCCCAACAAGTGGATTTCAAAAAAAACAAAAAATAGCAACTTTGAATTTCACTCTTAGCAATACACAAGCTATAGGACTCCCCTAGGGGGAAAAAATGTTATAATAGAAAAGAATATAGAGTAGCTGGGGTGTGTGTGTGAAATATTTAGAAGAGGGGCTCCAATGAAACTCCTACTTCCTTAAAAATAAAACAGTGTGTTTCTGACTCAGTGAAAGCTGGAAAAGCCCCTAAGGGAGCTCTCTATTTCTTGCTTCTCAGCCTCCCACCCCCTGAGATTAAGAGCAGAAAGAAGAGTCTGGCCAGAGAAATTTACAGCTTCCTAATAGTAGACCAGCTCAGCCTCTTGTAATTGCCGATTGTAGAGTAAATACAGCTATTTTAGGCATGAGGATAGAAATGGATCTGATGAAAAGTGAAGGCAAACTTGGTCCTTAGACTACTTGCCAGAAAGGGCATCTCCAGTAAAATAATCCATTCTCTTTCTTGCTCAGCATCCCAAACTTGGGAAAATGCAAGGTCCCTTTTGCTTCTCCCGTGGGGAACAAGGCAAAAGTAAGTGCCCAGGAAAAACACTGATGCAAATGCCATATAAAAACGATCACAGACTTTAGGCCTAGTGGCCGTGCAGGCTTTTCAGTCCAAAGGGTGCATGTAGAAGAGAGTTTGGAAACCCCCCCCCTCTCCTGAAGTCCTCTTTCCCAGCAATGTCCATTGTAGGGGGCTGCGCAAATATTTACAAAGTTCTCAAGTTTCTGATTTTACACCATCTTTGTGATATAAAACATTTGAGTTGAAGGAACCGCAAAGCAAACCCCTTTCTCAGTGTCTCTGGAAAGGCCGCACCACTAGCATGAAAGGGGAGCACACCTAGAAAATGAAAACTCGTGTCGGTGTCCCAAGAAAGCCATTGGCGAAAGGCACTGGGAAGAGGGTGGCAAATTTAGCGTTTGCTGGAGGCTTGGGCCCAGGCTGGGAGGGGAGAGCCCCAAGGTGGCTGCGCAGCGCGGTGTGAAAGTTCTCTGAGAGACGTGCCGAAAACCAGACTCCCTGGTTGGAATAACCTGTGAGATCAGTGCCTGGGCCTGTTGGCATCTCTGCCCAAAACATCCTGGACTGCCGCCAGCCCAGGCCTGAACGTGGCCTTGGAGCCACCACCAGAGCCCAAACAAGCCCCAGACAGGTGCTCAGCAGGGTCTCCCTGCTGGGGCCCTCGGAGGGCACGCAGCATTTCTTGGCTAGAAGGGTGGTGGCCGGTTGTGGGGGGCGGGGGGAGCTTAGACTCTTGAGGACAGCCTCCCCAGAGACTGTTTGGGGTTGACTGTCCCAGTTACCACGTGGCCTCTGTGGAGGGCAGAACCCAACTTTGTTCAGAGCAGGCTAGCAGGTTCCAGGCCCAAGAGCGCTGAGCATTCTCTCAGCACCCCTCTTCAGGGCTGCGATCCTGCCATGATCCTGCCATTCAGGGTGGGCCGAGGTGGGGCATGGCATGGGGCCAGCCCCGAGCAGGGACACATCGAAGCTACCGTGCAAGCCACCCCTGGGGGTGTGTTTTTGCTTGCTTTCTCCAGCCAGAGGCCACCCCGTCCACCTGGGGTCCTGAGTCCTCTTGTTTCAATCTGAGTATAAGGAAAACCCACGCCAGGAGGCCAAGACTGCAGCCTGAAAGTGGGGAGAAGACTATGGCAGGTCACCTGAGGGGCCCTGCATCTGAGCCAGCCCTCTGGGGGTCGGCAGAGAGAGAGAGAACTGCGGGATAAACATGCAGCAAAGAAGCCTGCTCAGCCTTGGCACCCGGACGCCCCCTCTGGGGGGTGGTGCACCCCGCCCCGAGGCAGCCAATCCCACGGGCCGCCCATTTGGCCTCAGTAACTGGACTCCAGGCCACCAAAAGGCCCGTGGGTTCCTGATTGTATATCTTCGAATGGCATTAAAAGGTCCAGACCAGGCACTCGTAGGCCAGGCCATATTTAGCTGCAGGTTCACCCGGAGAATATTTTAGGTGCTGTTTGAAAGGCGAGATCTGGGCCCGGTTGCCGGCTGTCACATGGCAAGTATAGGATGGCTCCCTCGCAGGCCTGGCCGGGTGGGTGCTGATGGCCACGGATGCCTGAGTCCCTTCCAGAGCGTCAGGGCCACGCGACACGGGGCCAGGGAGCCAGGGAGTGCCCGGGTCGTGGGTTCTGTGTCAGCACAGCTTTTCGCCCCGTTTTTCTCTCTGATGGCGATAAGGCCACTTCCATTCACAGAACTCACAGAGGCTGTTTTCAGCCCCTTCTTCCCCGATGGCCCAGTGTGATATGCCAGCTTGCTGAGCGAGCAACCGCCTCCTCCTCCGGTCAGCAGCAGTGGAGTGGTTAACCCTTTCAAGGTTGGGGTGGGGGGACAGGGTGCTGACTGGCTAGAGGGAGGGCCCTGTCCCCAGAGACCCTTGGAGGTCATGCATCCCAGGGAGGCCCTGCCCTAAGTCAGCATCCTGGACCTTAGCCGTGGTTTTTCCACTCTGGACCCATCGGTGATAACCACCAGGCTCCCTGACCCAAGCTCTCACCCTTCACTTGTTCATACAGCCCTGGAAACCCCTGCTTGCTTATAGATATTTTCATCCGCGTTTCTGAGTTGATAACTTTCCACATCCCAAAGGAAGGAGGGATAGAAGGGTCCGTGATTCACTCAGATTAGTAATGAGGGTTAGGAATAGTCATTTGTGGTCTGGGGGAGATGGCCCCAGCTTCCCTAGAGTCACCTGACCTGAGGGACTGATCCTTATCACCTGCCCTGGGATCCCAGATCCTGGTTTTCTGGACATGGAGGAGGTGCATCTGTATGGAAACCGCTATGTGGAGACCCATTTAGCCAATTCTTAGCGTTTAGGGATCCTGGGTGGAGCCACCACCATGCACCAGGAAAAGCGTCGGCCTGTCTCACGTCTGCTCTAACTTTCTGCTTTTTTTCCTTTTTAGTTTTGGCTCTTGGGGTTCCAAGAGCCCCCACTTTCTGCCCAGCTGGTTGGTTACCGCAGGGAAAATGAGGGACTTTTGGGGGCAGATGTGTTTGCATTCCACTATCATAATGCCCCTAAAAATCCTTATTGCTCTTGCAGTATTCCTCGGGGGTCCCTGGGCCGGCCGTGGCAGCTGAGTTTCTCCAGCAACTAAAAGAAGAAAGATGTCCCCCCCGCCCCCGCCCCAAACCCTCCTTTCTGGTCCCTGGGAGTGCTCCCCTCATGGCGCTCAGAACTGGTTGGTGATCACCACGGAAAATAAAAAAGATGCCATCTGCAGATGGTTGCTAAACACGCTTTTTGCCCTCCAGGGTCTGAATGTTGGAGATGAGGCTTGGGAAACGGGACAACTGCGGCTGCTGTCCGCGTGTGCTGTGGGGGTTCGTGGCGGGGGAGGTGGGGAAGAAACAAGTGTTACCTGTTTGACGAGGCCGGTTCACATTTAGCCTGGGCCTTCCAGCAGGGCCTCTGGGCTCCTCACCTTGGCAGAAGCCCTGGACAGCCGTGACTGGCTCACCGGCTTCCCGGAATCAGCCCACTTTCCCACTCTCTGCCTCGGTTTCCTTCCCTGGCAAGGGAAGGACCACCACCCCCATCCTCCAGCCTGAAATGGTTCTCACTTGTACCTGCTGCTTTATTGTGAAGTTCAAGTGATAGACAGGCTCAGAAGGCGCTGGGAAAGTGGGGACAAGCATTACACATGGAAGCCGTCTGCGCTGATACTAATACCCACGCAGGCAGAGACAACTCAGACGGGAGCAGGACTGCGGTCCAACATATGCATGGGTTTCTGCAATCCTGGAATCAGGCGGCCCCAGCTCTGCAACTCTTGCCATGTGTCACCCCCCTAGGCAAGAGATTCAACCTCTCTGGACCTCCATTGCCTCTCATAGGAAACCCACGTTTTGGGATAAAAGTTGCTCAAGTCTGATAGGCACAGGATTTTAAGTGGTTCCTGGCTAGAGATGTAAATTATTCGAACAGGTATTTCTTTTGTACAGCAGATTTTTACTGTGGCAAGCGGTTGGCTTTCAGTTTAGGGTTCCGGGGAGAAGGGCTCTTTTCTTTTTACATCAATTTCTTGCCTGGAGAATCCCCATGGACAAGAGGAGCCTGGAGGGCTACAGTCCATGGGGTCGCAAAGAGTCAGACAACTGAGCGACCAAGTACAACACAGCATGTGAGATAAGGAGGGTAAGTTGTTTGCAAGGAAAACATTCAACCAAAGGGAAATACAGGTGGCAGGATGGGGCAGGACTCAAGATGATCCTTTGTAAAGTTTCATCTGCTTTTTTCTTTTGATCCTGGCTTGTGGGATCTTAGTGCCTGGATTAGGGATTGAACTCGGGCTCTCGGCAGTGAGCTCTCGGAGTCCTAACCACCGGGCCACCAGGGACGTCCCCATAGTCCACTTCTTCAGAATTATTTGTCTTAGGGATTTTCTGCACCCATGGAGCTGGTGTGCCACTTCCAACCTGAGGCAGGCTCCACCTGTGACAACCTGGGTGCCATGAGCCCCCCCAAGCTCCGGCCCTGCATGCCAACACCAGTGAGATGCCTCAGATCTCTGCCCCCACGCCCACCCATAGCTCTGATTGGTCTCTTATTTTAGAATCTTGCTACCCCAGTGCCCTCTTTCCTGGCCAGGGCACCTCTCTGAGCCTCAGTTTTCTCAGTGAGATGGGGAGAATAATTACTCCCCACCCTCACCCCGCCCCCGAGCAGTGTGAAGAGTCAGAACTCAGTTGGGCAGCTCTGGTGGTTCACAAACAGGGCATGGCTCAGAACGGTGGGCACCAATGACCCTGGGATGGCCAGGGGCACAGCGGCACCCTTGGCCTGGAGGGGCACTCCTTGGACAGGCTGGTGCCCGGCCCAGCCATCCTCTCCCCACCCACCCCCTGGGATGGGGAAACAGCGGGCATTGGGTCCCAGCCAGCAGGGGCGGGTCTGGTTTCACTTTCTGCTGTGTCATGGGGTGGGGGGTGGCATCGGGGCCCGGCTGGCCAGCTGGGGCGGGCACCGAGAGGCTGGCGGACAGCTGGGGCCCAGCTGCCAGAGCACAACCTGTGCCCTCGTCCTGCTGCCTGCCGGGCTGGGGGCTGGGCCCCAGGGCTTCCCTCTGAATGCCTCTTACCCGCCCCTGCCCCCGCCTTGCACAGTGGGAGAACCCTAAGGGAGAAAAGCCGGCAGGGTGTGAGATGGTTCTTGTAGCCACGAGATCGCCCCCAACCCAGACACGTTCTTCAGCCTGCAGTCTTGAGGTTCCCGGAACTGCAGCTATTGATTCTGGGTCAGAGCGCTCTGGCTGGACGCCTGCTCCCTGCTGCCTCCACTGGAGCATGCCTCCTGAGGGCCTCCTGTGTACTCCACACGGTCCCGGCACCAGGGATGCCTCGGGCAGCAAGACCACGCCTGCCCTCCTAGGGCTCCTGGTTGATGCGCGGCAAAATCAATAGACCGAGTAAAGAGAGAAAGAATCCCACGTGATGGGGACAGTTCCACACGGTCTGCTTCACATTAGCATCTCAGGGAAGGGGCGTGTGTACGTGTGTGTGTGTGTGCGCGCGCATGTGTACTTGTCAGGGATGTGACAACTCCTGGAACACATAGGTCAGTTGAGAACACAGGCCTGGGGGGCCAGGTGTCCCCGGTTTGAATCTGGATTTTTCCACTGATGGGTGTGAAACCTGAAGCAAATTTCTTCTCTTTGGGCCTTGATTTCTCCGTCTCTATAATGGTACCTACAGAGCAGGGCTGCATGGAGGATGTAATGAATATCCGTAAAGAACTAAAGACAGTGCCTGGCCTTGACCGTCTGCTGTCTAAGTCTTAGCCACTGTCTCCTAACTAAGCATCATAAACATGCCCTGTTCTCACAGATGATGTGAGGCTGTCACTGAGTGCTGAGAGCAGCAGTGATACTGTTGAGCTCACCCTCCCCCTCTCAGAGCTTTACCCGCCTCCTCTCTCTAGCCACACCAGCCTCAGGTAGGCCTTAGCATCTCTGTTCGGATGAGGAAATGGAGGCTTGGGCAGGTGAAGAGATGTGTCTAAGTGGACCCAGCTTAAAAGCAGTCTGACCCTGGGTGTGGAGTCAGCTTCACAGTGTGGGCCCTGCTGGTTCAATGCTTCACCCTTGTCATCCTGAAATTCTGAATAATTTTGGGAACGAGGGGTTCATGTTTTCATTTTGCAAATTACAAAGCCAGTCTTACCCAGATCTCACTTCCTCCAGAGCCGGCCCTCTTAAATCCTACCATCAATCTCTTGTAGAAGGATGGTCCAGAATAGTTTTCCAGTTCATCATTGAAGTATTTAGTGTGGGACTGAAATCCTAGGGAGCATACAGGACTTCCTACGGGGCCAGATTGCCCTAGTGTTTATTTGATTGTCTGTTGCCCCCATTAGAAGGAAGGCAGGGCAGCTGCCAAGGGCAGGGGGTGAATCATTCATTGCTGTATCCCCAGGGCCTGGCATGTACTAGCTGCTCAGTTAATAATTGTGAAATGAAGCAAATTAATGGCAGGCTGCTGGATCTCCTTAACTAAAACCGATTTAAGTGACACTTCCAAGAAAGCAGGTCAAAGTGGTGGCCATCCTCCCCTGGCTTCTGGACAATCCCCTGAAGGGTATGAAGGCAAAGGTCTCTTCCTTTCCCAGGCGGCAAACCTGAATGCCAATACCTTGCAGCAGATTACTGTTTAAACAGGTTCTGGGACTTCCCTGATGGTCCAGTAATTAAGACTCTGTGCTCCCACTGCAGGATCAGGAATTAAGATCCTCCATGCCATGTGGTATGGCCAAAAAAAAAGCCAAAACAGGCTCTGGTGGGGACCTCAGAGGCAACACAACTGTTTAAGGAAAACACAGGCCTGGATTCCTGAGCACCAGTTATTGGAGAAGAGTCTCAGCCAAAAGAATATTTTAATTCTGGGCAGGTTCAAGTCCCAGTCAAGGATCAGGGCGTACAGTTTCCTGGACTGCTAAGTGAGAGTTTGGATTTGGGGGGGGGTTCAAGTTCCTCTTTTCCTGTGAAATTAGAGTTTTTCTACATTCTTGCCGTTCCTAATTTGCTCCCTTAAAAAAAAAAAAACAACAAAACTTAAAAAAAAAAAAACAACAAAACTTAGTTTTACTAACAAGCAAAGAATCATCTGAAAATCCTTTAAGAGATTTACAACAATAATTAATGTGTTTTTGGCGAGCTGTTTTCACAGGCTCCATCTCTGTTGCTTCAGATGATCCGCATATGAAGTAGAAGTTACTGGTCTCCTTTCTAAATAACATCGTAACCGCCAGCACACACTGAGGGTTTTATATGAGCTAAACACTTTATAGGTATGAAGTCTTGTTGCATGAGCAACATATCAGGAGACACTGTTACTGCCTCTGGCTTCCTGATGAAGCAACCAGCTTATTAGAGAGAGGAACTGACTTGTCCAAGGTCGCACACCCAGTGTGTGATCAGCCAGAGTTCAAGCCGGAACCTTCCAGATCAGGGGTCAGCAAACTTTTTCTGCAAAGGGCCAGATACTAAATATTTTAGACTTTACAGGTCATACCGTCCCACAGTGACTCCACTCTGCTGTTGTGACAAGAAAACAGCCAGAAACATTAAGTAAATGAGTGGTCCTGGCTGCGTGTTCCAATAAAACTTTATTTACAAAACCAGGAAGGGGGTTAATTTTGGCCCCACAGGCTATATAGTTCACACCCNCCTGCCTTCCAGTTAGGAAGCACCTGGCCCTGGCCACATTCTTCCTCACCGTCTCTCCCTACCTGTGAGGCGACTCAGTCACGTCTCAGAACAGAGCCCACTGGGGCTTGGGAGAGGGTGAGTTGGCCCCTCTTTCCTTGGGATTATGAAGCTCTTGGAATTTACAACTATTAGGACTTGTTAGTGACTGCCATGATCGATCGGCATGGGGACTCTAAAATGTAATTTTAATAGGTGTTAAGTGAGTAACTTAAAGAGGAAAGTGTTAAAGAGTTTTAGGAAAATACCTCAATGGGGCACTTTGGCTGTGGAAGGAAGTTCTCTTTGGAGAAGGCATTTCTCTGGAGTTGGTGAGAATGGCAACAGGAGGGAAAATGTCTTAAGGCAGAAGAAGGTAACGAGAAGGGGAGATGGGAAGAGTGTGTACACACGCGTGTGTGCAGAGAGAGGGTGGAAGAGAGAGATTTCCCAAAGGCAGGAGGCTGGAACCCATGGATTCCTGACAGAAGAAGGGGTGGGGCGGGGAGACATGACTTTTTTCCCCAACAGCTTTATTGAGATAGAATTCATTCACCACATAATTCAGCCATTTCAAATAGTACACCCCCCAAATGGCTTTGAGTATGTTCACAGAGTTGTGTGACAGTCATCACCATCAATTTAAAAAATTTTCATCTTTTCAAGAAGAAAACCTGTACCCTTTACCAGTCCACCACTCCCACCGAATCTTCTAACCCCCTCCCCATCCCCCACTCCTAATCAATCGCTAATCTCCTCTTTATCTGTATAGATTTGCCTGTTTTGGATCTTTCATACAAATGAAATACATATTTCATAGGGAATGTGACCCTTTGTGACTGGCGGGGCGTGGGGGGCATCCCTGAGGAGAGAACAGGTAAGGACCTGGCAGTTCCTCCTGTTCTCTGTGGGATGTTCATGAATGCGTGAACGTCCATTCATTCAATTTCTTAAACTGTTGTTTAGTCATTGGGGTCACAAAGAGTCGACATGACTGAGTGACTAATACTTTAGTCACTAAGTCCTGTCTGACTCTTGTGATCCCCATGGACTGTAGCCTGCCAGGCTCCTTTGTCCATGGGATTTCCCAGGCAAGAACACAGGAGTGGGTTGCCATTTCCTTCTCCACGGGATCTTCCCAATCCAGGCATTGAACCTGCATCTCCCTCTATTAGCAGGCAGATTCTTTATCACTGAGCCACCATGGAAGCCCAATTATTTGAGTACTTACAATATTACTATAAATTATAAATTTGGGGGGGATCCAAAATTACTGCAGATGATGACTACAGCCATGAAATTAAAAGACGCTTGCTTCTTGGAAGAAAAGTGATGATCAACCTAGACATCATATTAAAAAGCAGAGACATCACTTTGCCAATAAAGGTCTATCTAGTCAAAGCTATGGTTTTTCCAGGAGTCATGTATGGGTGGGAGAGTTGGACTGTAAAGAAAGATGAGCGCCAAAGAATTGATGCTTTTGAACTGTGGTGTTGGAGAAGACTGTTGAGAGTCCCTTGGACAGCAGGGAGATCCAACCAGTCAATCCTAAAGGAAATCAGTCCTGAATATTCATTGGAAGGACTGATGCTGAAGCTGAAATGCTGATACTTTGGCCACCTGATGCGAAGAACTGACTCATTAGAAAAGACCCTAATGCTGGGAAAGATTGAAGGTGGGAGGAGAAGGGGATGACAGAGGATGAGATGGTTGGATGGCATCACTGACTCGATGGACATGAGATTGAGCAAGCTCTGGAAGTTGGTGATGGACAGGGAAGCCTAGTGTGCTGCAGTCCATGGGGTCGCAAAGAGTCAGACACGACTGAGTGACTGAACTGAACTATAAGAGGCTAAGTGTGGGGCATGAGCTGTAACCAACAAGACAGACAAAGTTCCTACTTAGGGACAGGAGAGGAAATCATAAACCAAAGAGGAAGAAAACATTTTACATTTGATTAAAGTAATAATAAGCAACAATGGCAGGAAACGATTACACCACCAGGTCTGAGTAAATCCTTGCAAATATGGGGTTTACAGACAGCATATCTTAATGCAAAGCCCAACTCAGGGTTGTGGCAATCTTCCCCTGAGAATGACTATGGAAGCAGCACAGCCAGGAGAAGGCTCTGGAAGAGGTAGGTGGCTCTGGGTTTTTTGTTTTTCTTTTCCTGCCAGCACTTTCTACCCCTCCGAGTAAGAGACACTATGCCCAGTGGGAATATGGCCAAAGATGGCTGCTGACAACACTCAAGCCTCGGCTACAGTAATAGGTCCAGGTGTAGACATGTGACTTGGTATGAAAGCTCATAGCAGCCCACTTCTGAGCTGGTCTGTAGTGCTTGGTCCACGTGTGGTCACGTGACCTAAGCAGGCCCAAGGCAGGATTGTCTTAAGCAGAGCTGGGGAGAGGATTGCTTTCCCCACCCACTCACCAGCATCCAGAGCTACTAGTGACCGCAAAGACTGAGGCCAACATGGAGGGAGAGAGAAACAAGGGATGAGCTGGGGGTTTGGGGAGGAGACAGACTGGCGCTGCGTTCTGTCCCTGGATCCAAGAGTGACTCAGCCTCTCTCGTCCTTCAGCATGGTTACTCGAGTAATGAATCCCCCATCATACCTCAGTCAGATCAGCTCTGGTTTCTGTGTGCATCAGAGCATCCCAGTTCAGGACTTGGGAACTGTTTGTTCCTTCTCATGGACTCTGTGAAACTAAGCGGGGTAGGTTATCCTCAGAACTCATTCTCCCCTAGGTTTGCCTTGCTGTATCTGGGGATGAGAGATTCCCCCAGGCCCCTCTCCATCTCTGCCCACCACCACCACCCTGCTTTCAATTAATTTACCGCTGAATCAGAGCTCAACATTTATTCTTGGGCTTCAAGTCCCAACCTCCATCTGCTTGCTTGCATCTCCCTGACCTTATTCCACTTCTCCTCACCCTGCTCTCCACCAAGGACGGAGCCTGCAGCTTGTCCTGGCCTCTGCTCCAACGCCCACCACGTTAATGGAATGATTTGCTTACGTGCATGTTCTCCCTTTGAGTGGTGACCTTGAGGCTGGAGACCCAGGTCTCACTCATCTTTGCGCCGCAGCCGCTGGCTTGCAGCAGTGCGGGAGGCAGGGAAAGGAGAGGGGGAGAGAGGGTCGCTGCTTCCTACCGATTCAGGTCAGCCAGTGGGTCAGGTTCTGCGCTTGTTTCCTCTGCCAGATACTCTTGCGTCAGGTGGACACACAGCTCATGCCCTCATCTCCTTCAGGCCTCTCCTCCAACGTCAGTTCTCCAACGTCCGGTACTGCAGTTCCCATGAACTGCATTCCCCCAGTCCCCATCTCCAGCCTTACCTTTCTTCACGCTCTCTCGTTCCCTTCCACCACCACTGGTCTCTCTGCTTCTCTCACTGAAATGTCAGCTCCAGGTGGGCAGCTATCTTTGATTTGTTCTCTGCTGTGTCCTTCACACCTAGTAGATGCTCACTAATCATCTGTGGCACGAATTCACCAAAACCAGCCTTACCAGATTTGTTTCTCCCCATGCACTTCATATGGTCCGGTGTGGTCATGTGACCTAAGCAAGACCAATCCAGGGTTGGTTTCAGTGGAGCTGCTGAGAAGACTGCTTTTCCCACCGCCCCCCCCCAGCATCCAGAGCCCCCTGTGGCTGGTGAACTGCATTCCATATGTTGATATGGAGAAGGAAATGGCAGCCCACTCCACTCTTCTTGCCTGGAGAATCCCCATGGACAGAGGAGCCTGGTGGACTACAGTCCATGGGGTCGCAAAGAGTCAGACACGACTGAGTGACTAAGCAACAAAAATGCCCTTCATACATTTTACAGGTGCTATGAGTATCAGGTGATGTGTTAGGTTCCTAGGGCAAATTATTACAAACTGAGTGGCCTAATACAACAGAAACCTATTATTACAATGTTCTGCAGGCTAGAAGCCCAAACTTGGCAGGGCTGCAGTCCTCCCAGGTGCTCCAGAGGGAAATCCATTCCTTGCCTCTTCCAGCTTCTGGTGGCTCCAGTATCCCTTGGCATGTGGCCGCAGCACTCTAATCTCTGCCTCTGTCTTCTTCCCTGTGTGTCTCTCTCTGCTTCTCCCATTAAAGGATGCTTGTAATTGCATTTAGTGCCCATCTGAATAATCCAGGGTAAATTCCACCTCAAGACCCTTAACTTAACCACAGCTTTTCCATATAAGGAAACCTGTGAAGGCTCTGAGAGAGAAGTGGACATACCTTTTCTCACTCTAGGAGTCACCATTCAGCCCTCTATATTATTTGCTTAAAGACCAGAAAAGCAAAGGCTTCCCACCACCACTTCATTGGCCTGACAGATATGTGATGAAAAGAGTATTATCATCCTATTACCTTGCTCCTGTCAGAGTGTGGAAATGATTTTTTAAATGCCATTTTCTGTGTTTTTAATTATCCCAATTTTCAAAAATAATATCATGCATATGGTAAGAAAAACAGTACAGAAACATGGGAGATAGAGGAGCCCCTTTGCAATTTTCCTCTTAACTCCAGTTTCACTTTTTAAATGTAATCACCATATGCAGCCTGCATAATCTTCATAAATTTTCTAAGCATATTCGAGAGCATACACTTTTTTGGCTTCTAACATTAAGAACAGTGGCAGGGGGCTGGGATGGTTTATATCCTGAAGGCACGACAGCCCTCTGACCCACCAGAAGCTTTCTAATGACTTCTAGCAATGCACCACACTTAACCTGTCCCCTACTCTCAGCACTTCAGTTAACTCCAGGATTTTAACGTTATATATACTCTCTGGTATCTGTCCAGCTATACTCCATCGGATACACTCCTAGATTTGGGATTTCCATGTCAATGTGTACATTTTAAATTTCTACAGCTATTGCCCAGTGCCATTCACCAAGGTGGTGAAATTCACACGCCCATCAACAATGCACAGGTGAGGGTGTCTGTTGCCAATACCCTTGCCCATCCTGGCAAGATAGCAGCGTGTCAGATCTCAAACTCAGGTAAGTGAGCTTTCCACGTGGGCCTGGTGGGGTGGACACAGCCCGTGAGGTTGTCCCCGTAGCCGTCTGAGGCACTGAGCTGCTCAGAGCTCTCGTTTAGGTTTTTATAAAACAAAGACAGAGTCTGGGGAGGTGAGCCAGAACCATGCAGTGAGACGCATTGTGCAACTCAGTATTTATTTCTTTAGCACAGCTAGAACTTAAATATGGTCAAAACATATTCTCCTTTTAATTTACACAAACAAATATGTTCCCGGGCTGACACCTCCGGTGCCAAGTTTCTAGGGGAAACGCAATTCTACTGTGAGATGAGAAACCAGCAGAGAGAAGATGAGGGTGGAAAAGCCACCACCATTTGCTTCGCACGTCCGAGCTGGGCTTCTCAGAGGGGTGTTTCAGAACTGGGCTGCTGCCTCTTGATCTCTTTCTGTCTTTGTTGCAGATAAACCTGCCAGTAATTTCAGCAAATGAAACGTGGAACATGTAAAGGCCAAATGATGGAAAACACTCAGGTTTTAATAAAAGGAGGTCTGCTCGGCTGGGACTCCTCTGTCCTGCTAGTCAGGAGATGCAAAGATTTATCCAGAGAGGGGCTGATGAATTGAAGAAACAGAAATGAGGCCAATGTGAGTTGCCTTTCAAGAGCTGTGCTAATATAAAACCAAGCAACTTGAATTTGTTCCAAGAGGGGATTAAAGCAACATGTTATTTTGAGTGATTGCTTAATTTATTGAGCTGTGGCTAGATCGGTAATGAAATACAGCCCTTGCAACTGATAACCTCTCGCTGTAATTGAACTTCTACAATTAAGAAATATTTTCTGAGAGTTCTCTGGAACAGCTCAGAATTTTTAGTCTCGGTAGTTGGGTACTTTTGAGCTCTCATTTTCCAGGCAAGTTTTCCTTTCTTTCTTTAAGAAGTGACAGGCTGATGTTAATAAGGAAAATAAGCAGCATTTTATTGAATGTCTTGTGTATACCAGGCACTTAATATACATTATCTCTAATCCCGACCACAACCCAAGGAAATCATTCTTATTTGTCCCTGTTTTATAGAGATGAGGCTCCTAGATGTTATGTGATTTCCCAGAGTGGTGGTGTCCAAAATGATAGCTACTAGTCACTTGTGGCTATTTCTGTGTAAATTAGTTTTAAATGTTTTAATCTAAAATTTCACGCTTAGGTTGCACTAATAGCTATATAGGGCTAGTGGCCACCACATTGGATGGTGCAGATATAGACCATTTTGATTACTGCAGAGAGTTCCATTGCTCAGTGCCATTCCAGAGGTTCCCTAGGTAGAGACAGGCAGTGCTCGGTTTCAACCTCAAGTTAATGGGCTTTGAAGGCACCATCTACCATAGCCCTTGTTTCCTTCTCTTCCGTTGGCTGAGAAGAAAGGACTAGAGCAGTGATTCTAAACCCTGGCTGCACGTTAAAATCACCTGGACTCTTATATAATCTCCTATCTGGCCATTTTAATGACTATATTCCAGATAGGCAAAATAGCTGTAAGACTGAGTTATTTCCTTTATCAATGTTTTATTATCTATTAACATAACTATACTGACTTTCTAAAATTTTGGTGAATTGAACATTTAAAAAAAAAAAAGTACCTGAACTGGAACTTCCCTGGCAGTCCAGGAAAGCATGGATCTGCCCTCTCGATTTGGGGGTGGGGCGAGGGGAGCACTGAGTTCGACTCCTGGTCAGGGAACCAGATCCCACATGCCACAATGGAAGATCCCACATGCCACAACTAAGACCCAGCACAGCCACATAAATAAAATTACCTGGACTGCTTTTTTAAAAAGTGTTAGGGTCCCAGCCCCAGAGATTCTGACTTAATTGTGATTGAGAGGGGTTTTTGTAATTCCTCATGTGATTCAAATGTGCTGTGTGGATTACGAGCAATCAGGTGCAAGGCTCCACACCCAGGGTGGTGAAAAGAGCTGGTTCATTTGCCATGAGAATGTGATCCCTTGTGGACCATGACATAGGCTTCTCTCAGAGCCACTTCTAAACCTCATTTCTGAGGGGAAGACTTAAGTGCTTTCTCTCATGCTTCCTGCTTGATGGGAGACCCAGTGGGGAGCTCCGCCCTTAGAAACAGGCTTTGTGCACGGTCGTGCAAGAAAAGAGATGTGGATGTAACATCACAGAGGTGAAGTGAAAAACCTGGAGTCCCCAGTCCAAATGGGAAGTATTGGTATTACAAAATAATACACTGGTATTACACTTTGCCTTACAAAATAAAGCATGTGTTTCCTACCCCTGTCCACTGAAAAGGTTTGATGTAATGGGCAATTCAGGAACAGTGAGCACTCACAGAGCACACATTGTGGTCTCTAAACCCCACTTCTAACTAGAAGTGCTCTGTGGAGATAGGGCTGACTCCAGGTCTGAGGCAGGCAACGTGCAGGATGAGCGTGAACAGCGTGTCATCCAGGTGGCTCAGAAACTATCACAGACTTAAGGGGACTTGTCAGAAAGGATTCAGGAAGACAATGTGAAAAGATTCCCACTGGCCAAAGATGGGACATTTTGAGCATCGATAAGTATAACAGCCGCGGATGAAAATGGGTTATGTATGTCCAAACCTGTAAGTTCACAGTGATACTTAGAAAAACAGGAAAACATAAACTCATTTATCATGTTTGGAGAATGTTGGGACTGACTTTTTTTTTTTAATCTCAGTTCCCAGACCAGGGATTGAATCCAGGCCACGGCAGTGAAAGCCTGGAATCCCAACCACTAGGCCAGCCGAGAACTCCCTGGGACCAGCTTCTTAGTTTGAAAATTGTCAAATAAAGAGGAAAGAGTCAAGCGTGTATCCTTTCTGGTATGAGCCATACTTTACAGGAACTGAATGGCTGATTAGGAGAGGTTTCTTTATAGATGTATTCCAGCTAACAAAAGACAGAAGAATAGAATTAGTAAGCCACCATTTTCAACCTCTAATGGATCTAGACAGTGGTCATCAATGGTTGCTAACATCATGAAGGGGGACAACCACAAATTATGTGCCTTCAAATAGAAATAGGAAGCATCCACTAGGAAGCAGTCATACAAACACACACACACACACACAAAAACAAACATGAATCTAAGTGGACTTCTAGATCTAACTACTGATTTATAAGAAACACAGTGCAGAGAGGAACAGGTATCAGTATAACAGCAGAGGGATGCAGTAAGCAAAACCCAGACTGGGATACACTACAGAACAACCAACTCAGTTTCCTCAACAAATATATTGCGAGAGAAGCAAAAGAGAGGGGAGGAAAATCTGTGGGTGCAGATCAAGAAAGGGGTAAGAGGTGTATGAACCAATCACAATGTATGAACCACATATGAATCTTGATTTTAGCCAGCTGTAAAGAAGATAGCTCGGAGAAGGCAATGGAATCCCACTCCAGTACTCTTGCCTGGAGAATCCCAGGGACGACGGAGCCTGGTGGGCTGCCGTCTACGGGGTCACACAAAGTCAGACACGACTGAAGCAACTTAGCAGCAGCAGCAGCAGCAGCAAAGAAGATAGTTAATGAGACAACCAGAAAATTGTGAACAGTTGATATTTTCTGATTATTAAAGCATTATTGTTAGTTTTAGTCGGGATGATGGCAGTAAAAAAAAATCCTTATTTTTGGAGTCATAAACTAAAATATTTGTAGAAGCTATCTGGAATTTGCTTGTAAGTATCTAGGATGTGGAAGGAGGGGAAGGGGGACTATAGATGGAACAAGGTTAGCTGAGACTTGGTGATTATTGAAGCTGGATGATGGATAGCTAGGGTTTATGGTACCATGTACTTGTGTGCACTTGTGTTATTTGTTCAACCTGCCTACCCATTGCTGGCATCTCTGAGGCAAGCCTGGGTCGCAGGTTTGTGATACATCTCAGTGCATGCATGTGTGCACACCCTCTTCTGTCGCCATGGCAACTAGCGAGGTGAGAAAGCAGCATCCAAAAGGTTCTAGTACTCTTGCCTGGAGAATCCCATGGACGGAGGAGCCTGGTGGGCTGCAGTCCATGGGGTCATGAAGAGTTGGACACGACTGAGCCGAATTCACTTTCACTTTTCACTTTCATGCATTGGAGAAGGCAATGGCAACACTCACTCCAGTGTTCTTGCCTGGAGAATCCCAGGGACGACGGAGCCTGGTGGGCTGCCGTCTATGGGGTCACACAGAGTCGGAGACGACTGAAGCAACTTAGCAGCAGCAGCAAAGAAGATAGTTAATGAGACAATCAGAAAATTGTGAACAGTTGATATTTTCTGATTATTAAAGCATTATTGTTAGTTTTAGTCGGGATGATGGCAGTAAAAAAAAAATCCTTATTTTTGGAGTCATAAACTAAAATATTTGCAGAAGCTATCTGGAATTTGCTTGTAAGTATCTAGGATGTGGAAGGAGGGGAAGGGGGGCTATAGATGGAACAAGGTTAGCTGAGACTTGGTGATTATTGAAGCTGGGCGATGGATAGCTAGGGTTTATGATACCATGTACTTGTGTGCACTTGTGTTATTTGTTCAACCTGCCTACCCATTGCTGGCATCTCTGAGGCAAGCCTGGGTCACAGGTTTGTGATACATCTCAGTGCATGCATGTGTGCACACCCTCTTCTGTCGCCATGGCAACTAGCGAGGTGAGAAAGCAGCATCCAAAAGGTTCCTGTCCACATGAGGATCAAGCCAGGCTGCTGGTGTTATGCTTGGCCCATCATATTTGCTCCCTTTGGAGAATTCCTAGTCAGATCTTCACAGCCCTACTCCCTCCACCAGATTTCCTCCTGCACTCCTTTGCCATCACTCACGCCTTCCCTATGCGCCCCCTGAGGAAGCAGAGGCTCATAAATGGAGAGAACAAGACCCTGAATCAGCTCCAGGCTCAGTTCTTGACTTCTCCACTTAATGGCAGGACTTTTCGCCTCCCTGAGCCTCAATTCTCTCACCAGTAAAATGGACATGATACAACCTCAATGAACTCAACAGATCTTTATTATGGGGAGGCAGTGGCAAAAAGGACCTCATCTCCACCTCATGGAACTAGACACCTGAAGGTGAAAGGCAATCAAGAGTATGTACTGTGATAGAGCTATGACCAACATACACAGCATACTAAAAAGCAGAGACATCATTTTGCGGACAAAGGTCTGTATAAGCAAAGCTATGGGTTTCTCCAGTAGTCACGTACAGGTGTGAGAGCTGGACCATAAAGAAGGCAGAGCACCGAAGAATTGATGCTTTAGAACCCTGATGTTGAAGAAGACTCTTGAGAGTCCCTTGGACAGCAAGATGAAACCAGTCAATTCTAACAGAAATAAGTCCTGAATATTCATTGGAAGAACTGATGCTGAAACTCCAGTACTTTGGCCACCTGATGCAAAGAGCTGACTCATTGGAAAAGATCCTGATGCTTGGAAAGATTGAGGGCAGGAGAAGGGGATGACAGAGGACGAGATGGTTGGATGGCATCATCAACTCAATGGACATGAGTTTGAGCAAACTCCGGGAGATAGTGAAGGACAGGGCAGCCTGTCATGCTGCAGTCCATGGGGTCACAAAGAGTTGGATACAACTTAGCGACTGAACAACATTAGCGACTGAAGAAGGGACTTCCCTGATGGTCCAGTGGTTAACACTCTGTGCTCCCAATGCAGGGGGGCTGGGTTTGATTCCTGGTCAGGGAACTAGATCCCACATACTGCAACTGAAAGTTCACATGCCACATTGAAAATCCCAAGTGCCGCAACTAAGACCCGGAGCAGCCAAAAAAAAAAAGTATGTACTGTGATAAAGTACATGTTTAAAAAAAATTTTTTTTGAAAACTGGCAGTCACTAGTTAGGACATACCGTAACTCATTTTATTTGACCCTGCAGCTTGTGAGATCTTAGTTCCCCTATGAGGGATTGAACCCAGGGTCCTGGCAGTGAGAGCACCAAGTCCTAATCACCGGGACCACCAGGGAATTCCCATAACTCTTAATCATAATGTCATAATTCTTAATCACACTTTTTGTTAACCAGGATATCCATACTTTGCAACTTAAGAGTATCCAGCTATGCCAGACCCATAGAATATTTTTACTTAACTGAGTGCTCATATTCCATGAAGTAAGTACTGTTCTTCCCGTTATTTTATGGAGGAGGTGAGATACTTGCCCAGGGCTACACTGTGGGTACATGGCCCTGCCTTCTTTGCTCAGCCCTCTGCACCAATTCGGCTCTGAATGCAGCAGCCGGGCCAGGAAACGTGAACTTCCAGGAGATGAAAAGCTCACCAGGTCAAACTCTATTTTGCAGTTGAGGAAACAGTGGCCCAGAGAGGCCAAGTAACTTATTCCAAGCCACACAGCAAATTGGCTGCTTAACCTGTGTCCTAGCTGCTTGGGGAAGTCCCACATGCTACGGGAGGCTGCTTCCTGCCCCATTTCAGCCTGTCCCAGGGTGGGGTGGCCAGTCATCTCGGGGTTTCCCGGGACTGGGAACTTTAGGTGCTTAAATCAAGAAAGTCCTGAGCCAACTGGGATGAGTCAGTCACTCTGTTTCAGAGTGAGGCGTCTAAAGGGATGTTTTCGAGGATGTGAGAACCAGCGCCAAGTCCCCACAGAAGTGCTGGGGTTTCATGCCTTATATAATTAAAACTCATTATTAATATCTAGGCTCCCCCACCCCAGCCAGACTCCCCACCCACGGGAGGCAGGGATCAGTATGTAATGTTCACTTCTGTTTTACAGCCCCTGATTCAACGGTGACACATGAATGATGTTCAGTGAACAGTCATCAAATGGACCAACCAACCAGGCTACCATCACCTCTGAGTGCGCCTCCATCTGAAATTGCAGAAACCCTCTATAGCCACTGTGACCTCCAGTTCCCATTTCAGACAGGCTGACATCCATGATGTCACATGATAGAAGGTGACTCCAGAGAGACTGACTACAACAAGGCTCCTGGAGGGAGCTATGGCAGACAAGAGTGGGTGTGGTTTTTCTTTAATTATTGTACCTGTTTTGTCTGTTCTTTCTTGGCTCTGTTCACATCTCCACCCCAGCGCCAGTGCAGGGGGGAAAAAAAAACAGAACAAAAAGCATCGCAGAGTTTGAGACAAGATAGCTGGCCGGTTCCCTCTCTGCTTGTAATTAATGCTGAAAATGACTTGCCTTGGCCACAAAGGTAATAATAAAGTCAGGGAGTCTGATTATTTGGCTACTAATTTCCTTCTAGTTTTTTTTTTTTTTCCCCTTCTCGTTTCCTTAAATTAATTCCAGAGTTCCTCCAGATTTCTCGTTGCTAAGCTATAAAGTTCCAGGTTTCCCAGCGCCCATGCTGATTGGCAGGGAGGTTCCAGGCAGCTCCAATCAGAGGCAGGTTGCTGAAAGGAGCATCCACATTGCAGCTTGCCCCGGGGTACTGGAATTTTTTCCCTGATGTTATGAACCATCAAAGTCTTTCTCTAACTGTGCAAAACCTGTTCTCTTGATCTTGTCTGCCTCTCTGTTGGTGTGCAGGCTACTGGGGCACGCCAGAAATCCTGGAAAAAACCCCTGGTCCTGGAGGAATAGAGAGTCCCTGGGTTGCCAGGTTTGGCGTCAGTGAAAGAAATGCCCAGGGCCTGTTCATGGCTGGCCAGAGATGACAGCGTGGTGTCCTGCCACGGGCTGGGGGGCTGCCTCAGACCTCGCCTGTCAGACCTCTCTCGTGCCATCTCTTAAGCTTGGTGAAAGGCTCAAGGGGGTTGAGGGAGAGTAGATGCCACTGCATGTAGGGTTGTTCGGGGGGTAGAGGCTGCATTTGTAAAGATGTTAAAACAGGCAGATGGGGACTTTGCTGGTGGTCCAGTGGTTAAGAATCTGCCTTGCAATGCAGGGGGTGCAGGTTCGATCTCTGGTCAGGGAACTAAGATCTCACATGCCGCGGGGCAACTAAACCCACGTGCCACAACTACAGAGCCCGGGCACCACCATGAAAGACCAGATGCAGCCAAGTAAATAAATAAGAACAGGTATATGGTAAGGGCACCTGGGAGGACCATTCTGGTGCTTCACCTCCAGAGCACGGATGCAAACAGCCACCGTGCACTAAGCTCCTACTGTGCACCAGGAGCTTTTATTGTTTAGAACCACTTTATTGAGGTGTGGTTGACATGTGAAAAGCTGTCTACATTTAATGTATACAACTTGAGTTTGGAGATACATATACCCCGGTGGGACACAGAGAAGAGAGTGGTGGTTGCCAAGGGGGCAGTGTGGGGGAGAGATGGAGTGGGAGGCTGGGGTTGGCAGAGGTAAGCTTTTATATATAGAATGGATAAACAGCAAAGTCCTACTGCATAGCACAGAGAACCATATTCAATGTCCTATGATCAGCCATAATAGAAAAGGATATTAAAAAAGGATATATACGTATAAAGGACCCACTTTGCTCTACAGCTGTAATTAACACCCTGTAAATCAATTACGCGTGTCAAGTGACTTCAGTCGTGTCCAACACTTTGTGACCCCATGGACTGTAGCCCGCCTGGCTCCTCTGTCCATGGGATTCTCCAGGCAAGAATACTGGAGTGGATTGCCATGCCCTCTTCCAGGGGATCTTCCTGCCCCGGGGATCGAACCCACATTTCCTGCAGCTCCTGAATTGCAAGTGGCTTCTTTATCACTGAGCCACTGGGGAAGCCCCCTCCCCCCCACAAATAAGTATATACTCATGAAAGTATCACCAGAGTCAGTCTATGCCATAAATATATCCATCACCTCCAAAAATTTCCTCCTGCCTTCTTTATATTCTTTTTTTATTATGATAGGAACATTTAACATAAGATCTACCCTCTTAGCAAATTTTAAGTGTACCATACAGTGTTGTTAATTGTCACTACCATGCTGTACATTAGATATCCCGAACTCAGTCATCTTGCAGACCTGAAGCTTTGGACCCCTTGACCAATATCTTCCTATCCCCCTGCCTCCCACCCCCAGCAATCCTCATTCTACTCTCCAGTTCTCTGTGTTTGACTATTTTAGATTCCATGCAAGTGGTATCACGTAATATTTGTCCTGTGTCTGGCTTATTTCACTTTGCGTAATGCCTTACAGGTTCATCTGTGTATCCACATAGGACAGAATTACCTTCTTTTCAAGGCTGAATAATATTCCATTGCATATACCACATTTTCTTTATCCATTCATCTGTCCATGGATATTTAAGTTGCCTCCATGTCTTGGCAATTGTGCTAGAAACATAGGACATGTATATCTCCTTCCATCTGAAAATTCCCACTGGACACAGAACGTGATGGATGTCTACTGGTTTTCCCTGCACTATTTCATCTTTCACTAACAGGGGAGCCATGACAGAGGGGAAATCATGTGACCCAAACCTGGCCACAGTGATTGGCTCTGGGATGGGCACACAGCCTAGCTGGGCCAATCAGAATCCTTCTGCGTTTTTTTGTTTTTTTTTTTTTGGCCAAAACTATAGGAAGAACCTCCCTCTTGCCACTGGATTTGCTGACCTAGTGACCACTATGAACACAGGTGGAAGGTGCCTGAGGGAGATAAGGAGCCCCTGTGATAATGCTTGAGTTCTGCATGTAGGAGATCTCAGATCTATTTCCTGGGTTCTAGTAAAAGGAACAGAAGCTCCAATACTTTGGTCACCTGATGCGAAGAACTGACTCACTGGAAAATACTCTGACGCTGGGAAAGATTGAAATCAGGAGAAGGGGACGACAGAGAATGACATGGTTGGATGGCATCACTGACGTGATGAACATGAGTTTGAGCAAGCTCCGGGAGTTGGTGATGGACAGGGAAGCCTGGCGTGCTGCAGTCCATGGGGTCACAAACAGTTGGACATGACTGAGCGGCTGAACTGAAATTATTATTTAGTGTGTTCAAGCCAGTTTGACTTGTGTGTCTGTTGCTTTTAACTGACAGAGTGTGAATAATACTGATACATGTTTTCTCCTTGTGGTACTTGACTCTGGGGTGGGCAATTTTCATGTCTTCCCACATAGGGTCCTCACAATCACCTGGTGAGGTATTCCATTTTGCAGACAGGAAAGCCAAGGCTCAGGGGGATGAGGGAGCCTGGTGCAGATAATACTGCCAGTATGTGCTCAGGGATTCAAACCTGGTCTAATGGATGTTTTGGTGGCTCATCAAATTCAACTTGTCCAAAGCTGAATTTGAGAACCTCCCTCCAAGCCTGATTTTCCCCCAGGATCCCCATCTCACGGATAGCACCTCCTTCAGTCTGGTGGGGTTAACTGGAAGCCAGGTGTTCTCCTTGACCCCTCCCAGCCTCACCAAGTCTTGTCCACTGCTGGTCCACAAGCCTGGAAGCAAGCAATTTACTCCTTCCATTGCCCACCTCTCCACCCCTGCCCAAGCTGTCCTCACTTCTCAAAACCTTGGCCTTTTAGAATTGCCTTCCACCTGGTTCTCCTATGAAAAGTGAAAGTGTTAGTCACTCAGTCCTATCCAACCTTTTGTGATCCCATGGACTATAGCCCACCAGGCTCCTCTGCCCAAGGGATTTTCCCAGCAAGAATACTGGAGCAGGTAGCCATTTCCTTCTCCAGGGGATCTTCCTGACCCAGGAATCAAACCCAGGTCTCCTGCATTACAGGCAGATTTTTTACTGTTTGAGCCAGCAGAGAAGCCCCAGTTCTCCTATACACATTGTCATATACATTCCCGCCCCCTCCTCCAAATACAGCTCCCCTTGGCATTCAGAGGATTTGGCTCAGAATGCTAGTCTGGTCATAAAGCCTTGCTGGGAGAGTCTGCGTTTATTGATCTTATGGCACATTTGTCTCTGGGGAGGATTTGAGAGTCATACAACCCCTTGGTCCGACCTGACTTTCAGGCAAAAAGTCAGCAAGGCCAGATCTGGGGAGGACACAGTCGCCTGCATCCTTAGCCACTCTGTTGTTTATTTCAAAAAGATTTGCAAGCTTCTCCCAGGCCCTGTCCCCTGTGCTGGGGGTCCAGAGATGAACAGCAGCAGCCTGAGCAAACCTTGTGGTGTACTCGCTGAGGGCCCAGCCCTGCATTCTGGGCCACTAACTGGCTTGCTCCTCCAGCCACTCTATGACAGTGACTGTTATTTTTAAACACTTTTTGGAAATTTGTTTTCTCTTATTTATTTATTGCCGCACTGTGTGACATGTGGGATCTTAGTTCCCTGACCAGGGATTGAACCTGTGCCCCCCTGCAGTGGAAGCGCAGAGACCTAACCACTGGGCCACCAGGGAATTCCCCAAGCAGTGATTATTATTCATTTCACTTTACAAATGAGAAGGAAAAGATCCCTGTTCTCATGAAATTTTATGCTAGTAAGGAAGACCAACAAAAAGTTAAACACACACACGGGTGACATAATACAAAGAATAATGGACCAAAGGTAATTCTTGGAGTCTGAGTCCAGAGGCTCCTAGATGCTTTCATCTCATCTCAGTCTGCAACCCAGAAGGCCAAGGCTGAACTCAGACCTCTCCCAAACTCCTTGGGAGTTCCACAGGCCACCACCTTCTCTCCCCACTCTCCACTCTGCCCTGAGGGACCTGTGATCACACCTCAGGTTAAAAGTCCAAGGCCTGCCCCAAGCCCCTCTTGGGTTTAGGGGTGCACACACTGGAAGCTAGCGGGGCAGATCTTGGGGAGACACCCGGGCAGGCTTTGCAAATGGCTCAGTGCTGCTAGGGCAGGGAGTCTGATAGTCCCGGACACCCAGGACGTGGCCCAGAAATGCAGAGGTGGGGGTCCATGGGGGCGTATCCCTTTGGCTCCGTGGCTCCCTACCTTGTGTGGAGGAGCCTGGCTGGAGGACTGGGACGGGCCCCTGCAAGTCACAGGGCCAGACTGGCCTGAGTCTAAAAAAGGCAGTTCTGCTGTGTTCACGGCCTTCTAGTTTATTGCTGAGCCCTTGTTCTCTGCACCCTGACCCTCCCCCATCTCTGTATGTCTGCCTCTGGCTTCCCTCCTGTATGGACTGAATGATGTCCCCCCACATTCATATGTCTACTCAGAACTTCAGAATGTGACCTTGCTTGGAAGTCGGGTCTTTGCAGATGTCATCAAGATAAGATGAGGTCATACTAGATTAGAGTAGATGTTAAATCCAATGACTGACATCCTTATAAGGAGAGAGGGGAACGTTCCTGGAAGTTCCGTGGTTAAGACTGCACCTTCCGATGCAGAAGGTATGGGTTCCATCCCTGGTCGGGAAGCTAAGATCCCACGTGGCTGGCGGCCAAAATACCAAAATATAAAACAGAAACAATGTTTTAACAAACTCCACATAGACTTTAAAAATGGTCCACATTAAAAAAAAAGTCTAAAAAAAAGAAAGAAGAGAAGACACACAGGAAGAAGGCCATGTGACAGTGGAGAGAGTGACTGTGGTGATGTAGTTACAAGCCAGGAATGAATGCCAAGGGTTATGGGAAATTTGCTGGAAGAGGCAAGGGCGGATTCTTTCCTAGAGCCCTTGGAGGGAGCATGGCCCTGCTGACATCTTGACTTCAGACTTCTCGCCTTCAGAACGGTGAGCTGGTAAATTTCTGTTGTCTTACACCTCCAGGTTTGTGGTGGTTTGCTATGGACCCCAAGGAAGGTCATGCGCCTCCCCGGCAGGTCCTCCTTCCCCCTCTCCCACACCTGGTGTCAGGCTGGGGTAGGAAAAAAATGTCACTAGCAGATCCCCCTCGCAATTCACCTGGGCAATCCCAGAGGCAAGATGTTATTAAAGATCACCTCTTCCAGGAAAATTACCTCCACCCTTGCCCTTGGC